AAAGAAATACTGGAGTAGTCGATTTTACAATCTTCCCTAGGTACCAATTTGTTATCATTAAATAACTTTTGTAATGCAAGAAAAAAATGATAATCGCTTAGTGCCAAGTCCGGACTGAAGGGCGGATGCATTAAAACTTCCCAACCAAACTTCCGAAGTTTCTAGCGAGTCACTGTAGGCCTAGCTTTGTCCTGGTGGATAACGACACCTCTCCTGTTGGTCAATTCTGGCCTTCTCTGGTCAATTGCTATCTTCAAACGGTCCAGTTGTTGACAGTAGATATGCGAATTTAGCGTTTGGTCATATGAAAGCAATTCATAATAAATAATCCCCTTCCAGTCCCACCAAATGCATAGCAGAACCTTCCTGGCCGTTAGACCTGGTTTTGCCAGAGTTTGAGGTGCTTCGCCGCTTTTTGACAACGATCGTTTTCGCACAGGGTTATCGAATGTGATCCATTTCTGTCACCATCCGTTTAAGAAATGGATCTATCTCATTCCGTTTGGCCAAGGCTTCGCAGATGGAAATTCGATATATCCTATTTTTACTGTTAATTGGTGTGGCACCCAAACATCGATCTTCTTTTTGAATCCAGCTTTATGTAAATAATTTAAAACAGTTTTATAGTCGATTTTTAGCTCCTGGGCGACGTTTTGACTTCTAACATGATGGTCAACTTCGATAATTTCTCCGATTTTATCGACATTTTCGACGACCGGCGTACCTGTGCTAGGTGGCTTGTATTTTCGCCTTTGTCAAAGAAAAACTGTAAAATGTACCAAATTCTTCCCATAGAATACATTTGTATGACTTACTTCTCTAGAAGACCTATTGATGACCATGTACATATAGGAGTTCACATGTCTCCTGTATATCGAAATTCTCCATTGACATACATTGGCATAGATTTCTCTCATGACATTTTCCGATTTCTTTCTTTCATGACATCAAAAACTTGACCTCAACTAGCTATTCTCTCCCTAGAATTTTTCTTCTGTTAATAGAGCTCTTTCAAAGTTTTATAGAAGAATTTCTTTTCGTAAAAGGTCTCCTGCATCTTGAGGCCCTCATGAAAGTATTCTGCCTATAGAATTCCTTTTCTAAAAAAAACCATTTGAAGAATCTGTATCTAAAGAAAACGTTAGAAGTTCGCCTGTCTTCTGTATATAGAAGTTCTCCATTGACAGGCATAAATAAATTTCTGTCATATCTTCCGAACGTCGGCATCATAAGAAATTCATCACGTATAACTCAAAAAATTTGACCTATGTCGAATTTATTCTTATGGGTTTTTAATAATCGCCAAGGGCTTTTCGGAATGTTGCACCCTACCCAAAATCTTTTGGTAAACTGACTAATATAAAACTATCTGTTGTTTCTCCTGCAATTGAATCACTTATAACCCTGAAAAATTTGAGTATATATTTTTGTGTGTGTTTTTTTATTATTATTTTAAATATATTTTTTTTGTTATTTATATAAAAAATGTATTTATTTTTCTTTATTTGTTATTGTATATACAAATCCAAAAAAAAAGATGTATTTCTTTAATTACTCTGGTTTGTTTGTTATTTGAGTGTTATTATTAATTTATTTTCCAACCAAAAAATCCAAAAAAATAATCGAGCAGCACCCACCCCAAAAACCCCATTAATATGTTTTATTTTTTTATATATGTTTATGTTTTGGTGAACTGAACTGAAAAATAAAAAATAAATCTAACCCGGTTTTTTTGTATCATGCTCTTTTTTCTATTTTCCATTTCTTTCACCTCTACTTTTTTTCTCATTCCCCTCATCTATCGCTATAAATATTTGTGTCTAAAATAATCGCTAATCTAATCTTAATATCATGTCTTGGTGTGTAATCGAAAAAAACAAAAACATTTGTATTTGACGCCATTAATCTTTGCAACCTACCAACCAACAATTCGTCATCATCATTCATCCAAACATCATCCATCAACGTCCACGTCCACCACGATCACCATCATCATCATCTCATTATGATTTGAACTGATCATCATATCATATTACCATGCACTCTTCCTCTTCTTCTACATGATTGTCAACGACATATATTTGTATTATTGTCATCGTCGTCGTTGTAATGCTAAATCGAAATTAAATCAAATCATCAATGCTCCCATTATTTTGTACTGCCATTGTTGTGTAACATCCAATCGAATTTGAACACCATTTGCTGCTGCTGCCATCACCAACCAATAACTTTGGTGGTATCTCCAAAAAACCAACAACCTACAAATTTGTATTATTTGTTTTTTTTTTACTTTGCTGTAAACGAAATAAAACGTAACATCAATTTCGTAATCGAACAACCAAAACCACCTCCATCACCGACCGCTATTCAACCTTTTAATGTCTCCATGATGGCGACGGGCTGCTATTCATAATTGGACGCTTTAAAAAAAAAAATGTGTGTTCTTTTCTGCTGCCGCCACTACAACTACTGCTGCTGTTATTATTGTTACTCCATTGTAAATGATCACTGATCGATCGATTCATCGCATTTTAACAACCCCATACATACCCTCCTCCTTGGTCGTAATGCTACATTTCTGTGTCATCATCTTCTTTACCACATTTGTTTCCACTTCTTCTCCTACTTCGCTCTTTTAACATTTGTTCGCTTTTTTCAACATTTGTTTAATTTCGTATATAAAAACCAACAAAAAATAAATAAAACCAAATCTAGAGTAGTAGTACTGCAGGAACACTTGCGGTAAAGTATTGAGCTCAATTATTGTAAGACTTACCCTACCGTCTTTAAATCTACCTTAGCAACCATTAAACCGGCAAACCGCCCGCCAAATAGCTTATTTTGTTCAATTTATTTCTTTACAGTTATATTTTTGTTAGCTTCTCTTCTTCTTTTTTCTTGCTCATATTCTGCTTCCATTTGTCATTTTGTTTTGGCTTAGAATTTATTGCCTGAGCTTGAATGATTTTTGCTTGGCTTTCTTTTTTTGTAGTGTTCAGAAAAACTTTTTTATATTGCAAATACTTCTTTATATAAAATATTAATAGAAAGTCTTCTAAATTAAGAAGATTTAAAGGTCTACTTGCGACAAAGTACCTGAAATAAATCTTAACATTTCTATTGAAGATCGTCTAAAGATGTCCTTTAACGTTTTGTGTTGTCTTCAGAATACCTCTGGAATTTCTTCGATCTATATAAGGCATCAAAAAGATCTTCCCTTTCTAGAGATCCTCTTGACAGGTTTGTGTGTCTACAGGCCATATCGAAAAGATCTCACATTTACTCGTATATAGATTACGACATCTAAGAGATCTTCCCTTTCTAGAGAACCTCTAAAAAGGGTTTTGTCTACAGACAATATCGAAAAGATCTCACAATTAGAGGAACTCTAATAAGTTGTCTGCCTCTAGGAGAAAATTCTTTCTAGAAGTACATAAAATTGTTCTGTCAGTAGACCGCTTTTAAAGGTTATAGTTTCTATTCATGTTGATTTTAAAATATCTTCTGTCTCTTGAGAATTGAGGATTTTCTATCTCCCAAAGGCCCCTTTAAATGTCCTCTGTCTTGAGAAACTATTTTTAAATTCATTTCATCTATATCAGACTTTTGAAAGCCTCTTCCAGAGGCATAGCCTCTTGAAGACTCCAAGAATTCTTCTGTCTTCAGAAGCAACTCTAACAGCTGTTCTCTCCCTAGAAAAATTAGTCATCTGTATACTGAAGTTATGGAAATCGGAAAGACTCGAAAAGTCGCCTATAAATAAAATAATCTATTTATAGCAGACCTGTAGAAATCATCTTCGATAGGATTTTCTGTCTTCAAAATTTGCCTTCCAAAATTCTTATGAGGACTTCTAAAATAACTCCTGTCTATGGAAGACTATCAGAAGATGTTCAGAATCAATGCAAGTCATTTCGGTTATGTCAATGTCAGAACTTTTCTTTTTTCTTTATATGACCTTGTAAAGGCCTTCATAAGAGTTTATAAAATATTTCTCTTTGGAACTATCAGCTATCCCTTTTGAAGCCTCATTTTCCAAATGTATTTTCTGTAATTTATATTGGTATAGGCTCCAATATAAGCAAACTATGAACCCTAAAAATTCCGATTACTTAAATCCCATAGCAATAGAATTGATTATTGTTACAGGTCTCAACATATTTTTCAAAATTTCAATTACTTCAATCACCTGGACATTGATCATGGCGATTAAAATAATCTTCTCCTTTTCTTTGTATGATCTCTCTCTCTCTCTCCTTCTCTGCTACTAACACCAATTGTATCTAAAAATTTGCCGCTCCAAATAACTACTACTTCTGCTACCTAAAAACCAAAAACCTATTTTAAATGCTTTCAGAATTTACAAGTTAATGTTAAGAAAAATGTCAAAATTCAATGCAATGTCCATGGTGGTAGTGGCAGCGGCGACTGCTTAACAAATAATTGTCAAGAAATAGAAAATGCAAAATTAACAGAAAATGCCGGAAGTCATTATATATTTTCCAAGGTATATCAACGAACACATATATATTTTTGTTAAACTAACCCTGAACTGAATTATTGTTGAAAATATTAAAAAAATACGTTTTTCTCTTCTTTGACTTTATTTTGTAGTCATTTGTAAATTAATATTGTAAATATGTGTATATAATAAGAAGACTACTATTTTCTATATATGTATGTAATCTATTACAATATGATAATAAATTTTTACTAGCATTGTGTCTGTTGTTGTAGTGTAATGCATCCCGCTAAATAACATTTGTTCTTGCTCTAGTTTTAAAATCATTGATTATTTTTTGTTTTTCGTAGTAGCTCTGCTTTTTCTTCGAAGAAATCTGCTGTTTTATTTATTCTTGTAGTTGTATTTCTTATAAATACATTTTATAGTATGTCGATCCATATATTATTTACCTTTCGATTTCAATTCCAATAATTTGTAAAATTAATATATTTTAATTTCTTTTTTTATTAATTTTCATATTTCCAATAATTTATAGGGCGAGTTGGAGCAACAACTTTTACAAGCCAATCCAATTCTGGAAGCCTTTGGTAATGCCAAGACTGTGAAAAACGACAATTCATCACGTTTTGTAAGTATATTGTGAGAATATATTTTATCGGTAAATTGTATTCTAAATCTTACTCCAAAGTCTGACCGTGAAAATATTCATGAATAAATATTAGATTACCCTTAAGAGGGCAGTTGAATGAATTTGGTTCCACATTCTCTTTGAATAAAATATAATTTTTCATTATGAATATTTTCATTGTCTTGTTTTGGACTTAGCTCTTCGTACATAACTCTAAAGAGGTCCCTTAACTCTAAAGAAGTCCCTCTATTTTTATTTTTTTTTTTTTTTATTAAATTCCATTCTAACATTTCTTTCTTTTTTCCCATTTCCCCCATCCTCCACAATCTCTCACTCGCAGGGTAAATTCATTCGCATCAATTTCGATGCATCGGGCTATATATCAGGTGCCAATATCGAAACATATCTACTTGAAAAATCTCGTGCCATTCGTCAAGCCAAAGACGAGCGAACATTCCATATTTTCTATCAATTACTTGCCGGCGCATCGCCCGAACAACGTGAAAAATTCATCTTAGATGACATCAAAACATATCCATTCCTCTCCAATGGCAGTTTGCCGGTGCCCGGTGTCGATGATTTCGCCGAATATCAAGCGACCGTTAAATCGATGAACATTATGGGCATGACAGCGGAAGATTTCAATTCGATATTCCGTATTGTGAGTGCGGTGCTATTGTTTGGCTGTATGAAATTCCGTCAGGAACGTAATAACGATCAGGCTACGTTGCCCGATAATACGGTAGCTCAGAAAATTGCCCACCTGTTGGGGTTGAGTGTTACCGATATGACGCGGGCGTTCTTAACGCCACGCATTAAAGTCGGTCGTGATTTTGTCACCAAGGCCCAGACAAAGGAACAGGTGGAATTCGCTGTTGAAGCCATTTCCAAGGCCTGCTATGAACGCATGTTCAAATGGTTGGTGAATCGTATCAATCGCTCGCTGGATCGTACCAAACGTCAGGGTGCCTCCTTCATTGGCATTCTCGATATGGCCGGTTTCGAAATCTTCGAGTTGAACTCCTTCGAACAGTTGTGCATCAATTACACCAACGAAAAGCTGCAACAGCTCTTCAATCACACCATGTTCATACTCGAACAGGAGGAATATCAGCGCGAAGGCATCGAATGGAAATTCATCGACTTCGGTTTGGATCTGCAGCCCACCATCGATCTGATCGATAAGCCCGGTGGTATTATGGCTCTCTTGGATGAAGAATGCTGGTTCCCCAAGGCGACAGATAAGACCTTCGTTGAGAAATTAGTGTCAGCACATTCAATGCATCCGAAATTCATGAAGACTGATTTCCGTGGTGTGGCCGACTTTGCCATTGTCCATTATGCCGGCAAGGTTGACTACTCCGCTGCCAAATGGTTGATGAAGAATATGGATCCCTTGAATGAGAACATTGTCTCGCTGTTGCAGAACTCGCAAGATCCCTTCGTGGTGAACATCTGGAAGGATGCCGAGATTGTGGGCATGGCCCACCAGGCCCTCACCGACACCCAGTTCGGTGCCCGTACCCGCAAGGGTATGTTCCGTACCGTGTCGCATCTGTACAAGGAACAGCTGGCCAAGCTGATGGACACTTTGCGCAACACCAATCCGAACTTCGTGCGCTGCATCATCCCCAATCACGAGAAACGTGCCGGCAAAATCGATGCTCCTCTGGTCTTAGATCAATTGCGTTGCAATGGTGTGCTCGAAGGTATTCGTATTTGTCGCCAGGGCTTCCCCAATCGTATTCCATTCCAAGAGTTCCGTCAACGCTACGAATTGCTCACACCCAATGTCATTCCCAAGGGGTTCATGGACGGCAAGAAGGCGTGCGAGAAAATGATCCAGGCTCTGGAACTCGACTCGAATCTCTACCGTGTCGGTCAGTCGAAGATCTTCTTCCGCGCTGGTGTTTTGGCTCATCTCGAGGAAGAGCGTGACTACAAGATCACAGATCTGATTGTTAACTTCCAGGCATTCTGCCGCGGCTTCCTGGCCCGGCGCAACTATCAGAAACGTCTGCAACAGCTGAATGCCATTCGCATTATCCAGCGCAATTGTGCGGCCTATTTGAAGTTGCGCAACTGGCAATGGTGGCGCCTGTACACCAAGGTGAAACCATTGCTGGAGGTCACCAAGCAGGAGGAGAAGCTGGTACAAAAGGAAGATGAGCTCAAGCAGGTGCGTGAGAAATTGGAGACACTCGCCAAGAGTACCCAAGAGTATGAGCGCAAATACCAACAAGCGTTGGAGGAGAAGACCTCATTGGCCGAACAGCTGCAAGCCGAGATCGAACTTTGCGCTGAAGCGGAGGAGTCGCGTTCCAGGCTGATGGCTCGCAAACAGGAACTCGAAGACATGATGCAGGAACTCGAAACACGTATCGAAGAAGAAGAGGAACGTGTTTTGGCCTTGGGTGTAGAAAAGAAGAAGCTTGAACTCAACATACAAGATCTCGAGGAACAATTGGAAGAGGAGGAAGCGGCCCGACAAAAACTCCAATTGGAAAAGGTGCAACTTGATGGCAAAATTAAGAAGTACGAAGAAGAATTGGCCCTTACCGAAGATCAGAATCAAAAGTTGTTGAAAGAAAAGAAAATATTGGAAGAGCGAGCAAACGATTTGTCGCAGACCTTGGCCGAGGAGGAGGAGAAGGCCAAACATTTGGCAAAATTGAAGACGAAACACGAGGCGACCATTGCCGAATTGGAAGAACGCCTGCACAAGGATCAACAGCAACGACAAGAGACAGACCGTTCCAAGCGTAAGATCGAGACAGAGATGGCCGATTTGAAGGAACAGCTGAACGAACGAAGAATCCAGGTGGAAGAATTGCAAGTTCAGTTGGGCAAACGTGAGGAAGAATTGACGCAGACACTGATGCGTATCGATGAAGAATCAGCAGCAAAGGCCGCAGCCCAAAAGGCTCAACGTGAAATTGAATCACAGTTGGCCGAGTTGCAGGAAGATTTGGAGGCTGAGAAGGCTGCCCGTGCCAAGGCTGAGAAGATACGTCGTGATTTGGGTGAAGAATTGGAGGCATTGAAGAATGAGCTTTTGGATTCATTGGATACCACAGCGGGTAAGTTAACATAAGGTTGATCTGAATATAAATAATAATTTCGTGTTTTTTTTTTTTTTTTTTTTTTTGAAGCACAACAAGAATTGCGTTCGAAACGTGAACAGGAATTGGCTTCCCTCAAGAAATCCCTGGAAGAAGAGACCGTCAATCATGAGGCCTCCATTGCTGAGATGAGGCACAAACATGTCCAAGAATTGAATGGCATCAATGAGCAATTGGAAAATCTGCGTAAGGCCAAGGCGGTGCTGGAAAAAGCCAAATCCACATTGGAAGCTGAAAATGCCGATTTGGCCACAGAATTGCGCAGTGTTAATAGCTCCCGCCAAGAAAACGATCGTCGTCGTAAACAAGCTGAATCTCAAATAGCTGAATTACAGGTAAGACTTTGTTGTTGTCGCTGTTGTTGTTGGAAAAGAACATGACAGTGATTGACATGCCTGCCACTCCCCGCCCTTAGAACCCTTTGGGAGGAAGAGTGGGTAACGATATTTTTTTAGAACTTAAAAACCACAAGATCTCCTTCAATAGTAAAATGGTGAGAATGAACGACAGACCCATCGACCGAGTCACCACATGTGTGTCTGTGTGTTCGTGACCATGTAGTTGTCAACCATTTAAAGGAGGTTTTGTGGTTTTTTCCCCACCACCTCAACACTGCAGTAGTCATTCATTCTTGGTGCCCGCAACAAATGGCTTGAATGGTGGCTTGGCCCGCTGTCGGCATTGTTGCTATTGTTGTTGACTGATACAAGCCGCGTACTGCCTGCTGCAGTATAATGTGGTCTCGTGGAGGTGGTGGCGGAGCCCTGTCATCAGACATTTGTATTGAAATTGAAATCGAAATTGAAATTAAAGATCATCATTTATTTTTGCAGGTGAAATTGGCCGAAGTGGAACGTGCTCGTTCGGAATTGCAAGAGAAATGCACAAAACTGCAACAGGAATCCGAGTACATAACAAATCAATTGGAACAGGCCGAATTGAAAGCATCTGCCGCTGTTAAGTCGGCCGGTAATATGGAATCGCAACTTGCCGAAACCCAACAACTGCTCGAAGAAGAAACCCGCCAGAAACTTTCCCTGTCGTCGAAACTACGCCAGCTAGAATCGGAGAAGGAGGCGCTGCAGGAACAGCTCGAAGAAGATGAAGAAACGAAAAAGAACTATGAACGTAAGCTGGCCGAATTGTCGGTGACCATGCAAGAGATTAAGAAGAAGGCCGAAGAGGATGCCGATGCAGTCAAGGAATTGGAAGAGGGTAAGAAACGGCTGAACAAGAGCATTGAAGATTTGGAAAGACAGGTCAAGGAGCTGACAGCTCAAAATGATCGTTTGGACAAGAGTAAAAAGAAGATTCAATCTGAGTTGGAGGATGCCACCATTGAATTGGAAGCACAACGCACAAAGGTAAGTGGATGCCGAACTTTTCAACTTCCAACCTATACTAGTATTGTAATGTTTATTCTTCGACGTGCTCTAGGTGCTCGAGTTGGAAAAGAAACAAAAGAACTTTGATAAGATCCTAGCCGAGGAGAAAGCCATCTCCGAACAATATGCCCAAGAACGTGATACTGCCGAACGTGAAGCCCGCGAAAAAGAAACCAAGGTGTTGTCGCTCAGTCGTGAATTGGATGAGGCCTACGACAAAATCGATGACATGGAAAATAAACGCAAAGCCCTGCAAAATGAACTCGACGATTTGGTAAATACTCAGGGCACCGCCGACAAGAATGTCCACGAGCTGGAGAAGGCTAAACGTGCCTTGGAGTCGCAATTGGCCGAATTGAAAGCACAAAATGAGGAACTCGAAGATGACCTGCAATTGACCGAAGATGCCAAACTCCGTCTCGAGGTGAACATGCAGGCTCTACGCTCTCAATTCGAACGTGACCTTCAAGCCAAGGAGGAACAGGCCGAAGAGAAACGTCGTGGCCTTGTCAAACAGTTGCGTGATTTGGAAGCCGAACTGGATGAGGAACGTAAACAGCGCACCGCCGCCGTAGCCGCGAAGAAGAAGTTGGAAGGAGATCTCAAGGAAATGGAAACCACCATGGAAATGCACAACAAGGTGAAAGAAGATGCCCTCAAACATGCCAAGAAATTACAGGTGCAAGTCAAGGATGCTTTGCGTGAAGCCGAAGAAGCCAAAGCAGCCAAGGAAGAATTACAGGCGGCCAGTAAAGAAGCCGAACGTAAGGTCAAGGCCCTGGAAGCTGAGGTAATGCAGCTGACCGAAGATCTGGCTAGCTCGGAGAGAGCACGTCGCGCCGCCGAAACCGAACGTGACGAGCTGGCCGAAGAAATGGCCGCCAACGCCAGCAAGGGTACACTAATGATCGACGAGAAGCGTCGCTTGGAAGCCCGCATTGCCTCCCTCGAAGAAGAACTCGAGGAAGAACAATCCAATTCCGAAGTATTATTAGATCGTAGCCGTAAAGCACAGCTGCAGAACGAACAGCTGTCCACAGAATTGGCCACGGAAAAGTCCAATTCACAAAAGAACGAGAATGCCCGAGCCCTGTTGGAACGCCAGAACAAGGAACTGAAAGCCAAACTGGCCGAAATCGAAACAGTTCAAAGAACAAAGATCAAAGCCACCATTGCCACACTGGAAGCCAAGATTGCCAACCTCGAAGAACAGCTGGACAATGAGGGTAAAGAGCGATTGCTGCAACAGAAGGCAAATCGTAAAATGGAGAAGAAGATCAAGGAATTGGGCCTGAACATTGAGGATGAGAGAAGACATGCCGATCAATACAAAGAGCAAATCGATAAAGTAGGAAAACAAATTGAGTAAAAGGGGTAGGAAACCTTTATTAATATTGTGTTCTCTTGGTGTTTGTTTTTACAGCTTAACAGTCGCATGAAATTGTTGAAACGTAATTTGGATGAAACCGAAGAGGAATTGCAAAAGGAGAAGACACAAAAACGCAAATATCAACGTGAATGCGAGGATATGATTGAAAGTCAAGAAGCCATGAATCGTGAAATTAATTCACTGAAAACCAAATTAAGGTAGGTGTGATTCATTCACTTTTCTTTTGGTTACAACTGAATATGTGGTGCACTCTGGCAAACATAAATGACAGGAATTGGATTATAAAAGGGCATTGTCTTTGTAATAATTCGACGGGTCTTATTCAAATACCATTTCATTGCTTGTCATTTATGTTCGCTAGTGTGCACTTATAATGAAAATAAGTTTTTATTTCTCTCATATATACACAAATTATATTTTTATATTAGATCTATACAAGTGGCTGAAACTGAAAAGGCTAAAGCCTATTCACCTAAAAAGGATCCAACTCTTATTATGAATTGTGAGGGTATACAATAATAGAATAGAACAGAGCAGAAAATGTGTCAAATGTTTTCTCGTCATCAACCTCGTCGTCGTTAATAATTTTCCCTTTTTGTGGAGTCGCGTCTATTTACTACCACCTACCCACCTTCGAAAAATGTATTTTGTCTATTTTCCAATTTATGTTTCCATGTCGCCTTTATTTTTGTCTTCAAGATCCTTATGTTCGTTCCATTACTATTTTGTGTAAGTTGCTAATTATCGTTTATTTGTATTGCATACAGAAATTGTGCAATAGATTCGTAAATCAATTCCTCTTACCTACCCCCCAAACAATTTAGTTTCTGGAATGTTTCACCACCCCCAAAAAAGATACACGATTCCACATAGAAAATCAAAATACAAAACATATCCACATAGAAGAACACTTTTTGCACGTTATACAGAATCCTAAAAATATGTTTCAAAGTAATTTTAAATTATGTTTGATTTTGTTTGTTTTTCCCTCCAAAACTACTTCCCAAACGTTTTTCATTTCTTCTCCCGTTGCACGTTGTTTGATATTCGAATTTTGATTTGTTTGATTTTTTTTTAATTTTGTCAATTTTTATTCTTATATTTTTTTATATTAGCTTGTTATAATCATCAAATTAAACAGGGTAGTCTCCCAAAGGAGATACAACTTATATATTAAAAATATCTATTCAACAATTTTGTAAAGGTTGGTGTAAGTTATTGTTGTGTGAAGGTGATTGTCCCAAGTGATGTTTTTTTTATACCCTTCACCACACTGTGATGCAGGGTATTGTGTCCTTGTGCATAAGGAAACGAGTTAGATCCATGGTTACTTTTGAAAGCACTGATCGCACTCTGCTCTTGGAAGAACTCCATAAGAAAGAGCTGGGGACTAAGACCAGAGATCATACACTGGCTGTATGTGACGGTCATTCTCCCCATTCTTGCATATGCTTGTATGGTGGCAGGGGGTCAAAAAAATATGCTACTTACAAAATTTAATTCAGTACAGCGATCGGCTTCGATCCGGACTATCGGGGCGCTAAGAAGTAAACCACAGGCAGCCTTGAATGCGATCTTGAATCTCCAACCACTGGACATTCTTATTAAATTCCAGGCGGCCAGATGTGCCCTGAAGCTCCGAGAAACGGACTCCTGGAAATCGCTGAACTATGGTCACGCCAGTATCCTCAACATGACGCCAGGTTGTGATTTCTTGAGGAAAAATACTCAGACGGGTCAAAATGGCGCAGGCGTTTACTGCAGGGAATTAGAAACCTACAACTCATATTAAACTTAACAATCTTTGTAGCGTTTTTCAAGCAGAAATCCTTGCAATCACGAAAGCGGCCGATATAGTAAAAACACTTACTGCCGATAATATGGGACCGGTGACTATATATGTCGATAGTCAGGCGGTACTTCTTTGCTAGTGTCACATAATAAGAGAGAGAGAGAGAGAGAGAGAGATCAAAATCATTGTGGGGATCATAACACGTTACTGCAGCATTAGATCTCTCACTTCGAAATGAGACTCCAGCGGAGAGGATTACGGTCGTGTATGTGAGGACGAAGAAGAGCTAGAAACAATTGAACACATACTCTGTAGATGTCCATAGCTGATTGGCAGAAGACGTAAACAGTTTGATAGATATGAAATTGATAATCTGGCCTTCTCTAAAATAGACCCCAACCCAAGGTATATTTAATAAGGTAGCCGGATCGGCCCAGCTGTTGGTGCAAATAAATGTCAAAAATGTTGTTGTAATGTTGATCCAAAAAATTAAAAAAACAAAATTATAAATGAAAATCTGCGAATTTCGGAGAGCTTGTTTGGCAATACCTTTATTAACATTTTCTACAAGAATTTATGTAAAAAATTTTTTTCAATCTCTTTGTTTTGGCAAAATATTTTTGACATATCAAAATACAACAACCGATGTTTGTTGTAGAAATTCGCCGATGCGGTGATCTTGTATATCTACCTTGCCCCAACCAGATCCTAGGCTTTGTTAAAAATCTGACATGGCTAAAATAACCATCTCTAGGCTCTCCTCTCCTACTATCTTCTGCTCTCTCTCTCTCTTCTCTTCCCGTTCTCTTTTCAGGTATAAAGGATGATCACAATGTCTCCGAGTGGACGGTTGTTACTGTACATCCTTAACCTAACCTACTTTTGAGAATATGCATAGAATCACTTTCTGCATCGATTATGCATCTCTGTCCGTCTCTTCATATTAAATTGTAAACAATGTACAGGTCGCATTTATGATCCGAATGAAATGAAATTTGACACAGCCCACTTATATTGGGCCAAGGACGAACCCTATTGAAATTGGAAAAAATCTGTTTAGATTTAGATATATCTCCCACAAATATTTTCCTCCGATTTTGTGGAAATGGTGCACCAAACTCCCAACATATGTTAGATTGAGACCAAATTTTGCAGATGGAGACCAAATTGTGTGTAGAATGACATGTGTTAAGTTTCGTGAAAATCCATTCAGATTTAGATATAGCTCCCATATATGTTATGGTCTGATTTTATGTAAGTGGTGCTATAAGGGGCTTATATTTCGTTTGATTTTCACGAAATTGAGCATAGCATATTAAATTGAGTCTACAGTGATGTGTTTTAAGTTTCGTTAAAATCGGATCAGATGTAGATATAGCTCCAATATATATTTTTGTCCGATTTTCTGTAAATGATGCACTAAACCTGCGGTGTATATTCTCAATAAGTACAATTCGCCTTTAAAAATGTATTCCGACGGTAGTTTCACATTTCTTGGAATATCCTTCACGTGTCACACGATAAATGCTCAACTAAATTTGTTTATTTTGAGGTCTAAGAGGCTAGAAAATTACTTTTCTAAATGTATCGAAAATTCACATTTTTTCCTTCTGCTCTTTGATGTATAAGAGCTGAATACACTTTCAATATAGTCCTCTCTTGAGGTTTACATCCTATTGCGAAGTTTTTGGTCTTGCAATATGGCATAGGTCAACGCATTCCTTTTGATTATTTGAATTGTTGTCCTTTGGAACTTAAGTCCCGAAATGAAATATAAATACCCTTACAAGGCATTTTTAAAACTCAATTAACCAATTTTAGTCTAGTAAATATATAAAATATGTATGTACTTCATTAGATTGTGAGCAGCAGTTCAAAAAATTGCATGAAATTTAAAGGTTATGTTTTTTGTTTCTGTTTTTATTTGTATCTATTTTTTTATTTAAATACATATTTCCAATTTTCTCTCATATTCTATTTTTCTTCAATTTACAGGCGCACCGGCGGCATGGGTATAAGTTCGAGTCGTCTCACCGGTACACCATCCTCCAAACGTGGTGGTGGCGGCGGTGGAGATGATAGCTCAGTACAGGATGAATCTTTGGATGGTGATGATTCGGGCAATTAAATTAAAAAGCAAGCAAGCAAGAAAGGAAACCAACAAAGCTAAACCTGAAAAAAATTATGATTATTTTTTTAAAGTTTATTAATTTCTGTTAATTTTTTTTATAAAATTTACTTATTTTTTATTGATATTCATACTGTCCCTATTCCCAAAAAAAACAAAAGAAAAACACATACACACAGTTAAGATAAAAACACAATCCAATTAAAAACCAAGCTTAAACTAATTTCTTTGTATAAAAAAAACAGAAAATAATGAAAAAAAAAAACAAAACGAGAAAATGTTAAACGAAGTAAGAAAGTAATAAAAAAAACCCAATTTGTTTCTTACTAGAATTCTCCCCCTGCCTCCTTACCCCACCCATACATTATAACATCTCTTGTTCCCTTTGCTGTCTGCCTGTAACCCGCCCCATCCCCCCAAACTTCTTAGACTCATTCCCTTTGAAAAAATGAAAATTCTTTCACTTACCACCATACCCACACACAACACAATCCAACCTAAAAACGAAGTAATAAGTAATAAAATACATCTAATTAAAATAATAATAATTAACTACTTAAAGTTATTAATTAATAATACATATACATATATAAAAATTATAAAAATTTTTATAAAAAAGAAAAGAAAAAAATTTATATTAAAAATCAAATAAAAAAGTATTGGAAAAAATGCATTTATATATAAACAAAATTAAACAACAAAATGTTCTTTTATTTTATTTCACTTTGGTTTTCGTTTTTTTATATACGATATATATAAGCGATAAAGTCTTCCAATGTAGACTTTAAAATAATATTATTATTTTTGTTAAATTTATTTTTTTTTTATTTTACTTTAAAACAGTTAAAATTTTTTGCACTACACACCACTGTAGGTTTATAAAAAAAATATCTCCTTCGCTTTTCCTCAGTTCTGGTCCAATATTATGATATTAGAGGAGGATATCTGAGGTTTTCTATTAAAATCAGGTATATTATTATTTTTCTTAGAACAACATCTATTCGGAAAGTAGTCATAATGGAAAGGCTGATGAAGTTCCTGATGGGCTTTTTTAAGAAGAGTACATAGTACCTTTCTTTGAGGAGAGGAGCCATATTTAGAAGAACTGTTCTGCTTCATTGGCAATAAGTTCTGTAAGAAGACGAACTGAGAGGAGCTAATAGTATTCTTAAGAAGACCTGTTATGCTTCATTGGGAATATACCTAATGTCGTTCCGTAAGAGGACCAACTGAAAGACTTTTAATTCAGAAAGATCTCTTAGATATTTTTGAGTTGGAGAACAATTGTCCCTATTTTTTGATGTCATTGTTTTAAAGAGAAATCAGTCAGGAAAGTTCAAAAGTCGGACGGGCCGATTATATGATATTCTTCCCCATAGAATAGACATTGCATCATTGCATTGTATCATAACCGATTTGAAGCAAACTAGGCATACGTCATTCTAAATGCTGCACCACAGCTAGCTGACCCCATTTAATCTCCAACGTTGGGTATTTAGTGCTAAATTTCACGAAATCCGACAAAAATATGTATAGGTGCTATATCTCAATCTGAACCGACTTACACGTTTAGATGCGCAAAACTTCATCGCAATCGGATCTTGGGAGTTTGGTTACAAATTTAAATAAAATCGGATAACAATATATATTTGAGCTACTAAAATAGGGCAAAATATATGCGGGAGCTATATATACAAATGTTAGCCGATTTCAATCAAACTTAAAATACTTTAGACCTTTCTAGGCCCATTTCAGTACGTTGTGCAAAATTGTGTGACAATGGGACAAGCGTTGGGTCCTGGGTGCATCATTTACTTAAAATCGGAAATATATAAAATCGGAAAATATATAAGGGAGCTATATATAAATCTGAACCGATTTCAACGAAACTTAACACACATCATTATAGACGCATTACGGTATGGTATTCCAAATTTCGTCTGAATCGGACAAGCTATGGGAGTTTAGTGCATCATTTACAGAAAATCGGTAGAACATATAAGTTAACGGCTCACCCTAATAAACATCAAACTAAATATGCAAACCAACTAGTAAACATTCCCATCATTATGCTGCGCAAGCAGTCCGACAAATCAACAGGAATATGACACCAGGGCAGTCATCCGCCACAAACACGCGCACTAATACCAGCGCACCGCAAGTGATGACTCAGCGTAATAACGAGCACGACCAGGCTGCAGTATAATATTAGTTTTAAGTTGAAGTGAATCATAATTGTAAATCCAACAAGAGAGGTGCATAGCACCGCAACATAAATGTTAGTAACAAAATAAAGAAACACCATAGCAGTGTGAAATAAACTTTAACTTCTAACATTAACTGGCGCCCAACGTTAAAGGATTAAAACATCCCAACTGCCGGTACGAGAACCGTTCCTGAGTAGGAGTACGAAAAGGATGTTACGTAAGAACTAGCGGACTACCGGGATATAAGGAAAATGATCAAATTATTATTAGTAAGTTATTATAAATTTAACAAAAGTAAAAAAGAAGAAATGTTAAAATAAAATTAAACAAAATAAGGAATAACACAGAAAGTGAAAGTGTGAAATCTAATTTACAAAAAATCATATTTGTGCTAGAATACGTTTAACAAAAATAACAAAGTAAGAAGAAAGAAATGTTAGAGTAAGGTAAAACAAAAAATAAAGTGTGACATCTAAATTTACAAAAATCATATTTGTGCGAAATTAACAAATGTAAGAAATATGAAATGTTAGATTAAGTTAAACAAAAAAAATAGAGTGTGGCATCCAAATTTAAAGAGTCATATCCGTGCTGAAATAAGTTTAAAGAAATTTTGATAATAGATTTGTGACGAGAACTAGGATTTGGTGTTTCTTTTTCTCCTTTTTTTCGAGCGGCCAATGCCGGAAGATTTAAACAACTTAATAACAAGGGTCGAAGCTATGAGTGTTTCAGGACAGACATCTTCGCCTTCTGGGGCAGCTCCCGTAAGGTTTAATCCCTTTACGGAAAGTCAGACTAATGAGGTGAAACGAATAATAAGTGAGACGGTGGCAAACCTTCTCAAACAGGGGGAGGATGTTACCGCCACTAAAGATGTCGACATAGAAGGATCTGGGGATATCTCAGAAGGAGAGAGAATACCAGACATAGTGAAGACGTTAAGGGAATTCTCGGGCAAGCCAGGAGAATTTAGTTCGTGGAGGAAAGCTGTTGATAGGATCATGAACATTTATGAGTCACAAAGGGGAACAACCAAATACTTCACAATTCTACACACTGTTAGGCATAAAATTGTTGGTGAGGCCGACACGGCTTTGGAGTCTTATCGGACCCCATTAAATTGGAAAGCGATAAGAAAGTGTTTAGTGCTTCATTTTTCAGATAAGAGAGATATTTCGACCTTAGAGTATCAAATGACCGTCCTATCTCAGGGTGGGCAAACCATAACAGATTTTTACCAGAAGGTTTACCACCATTTGTCTTTGATTCTGGACAAGATTGATTGTCTGGATATAGGGAACGAGGCTTTGGATGTATTGACCCAAACATATAGGGACAAGGCTTTGGACACCTTTATTCGAGGACTTAATGGTAATCTTCCAAGCTTAATGAGTGTTACAAACCCGACAAGTTTGCCTCAGGCTCTAAATGCCTGTTTAAAATTAGGTAATCTAGGTGTGCGTATTCAACACGCTACCGAGAAAGGATCTAGACCGAACAGGATCCCCCAAACTAACCCTCCTAGACATTTTTACCCACAGCTGACGATTGGTGATAGGAATTTTCAAGGTGACCAAAGGTACAGAGGCCCTACTCAATATCGTTATCAGAATTTCCGAAGTGGAGAACAACAATACGGAGGGCCGGCGAACTTTTCGAATCGACCTCCAGTAGTGAATAATTTTGGACACCCCCAATACGGAGGATACAGACCCCCACTTCCTCCTAAACCTGCTGTACCAATGGACGTGGATCAATCAATACAGACTAGGCAGGTAAACTATCAGAATAGGCCACAGTTGAGTAATGCTTTTAACAATGTTCAGCCTAACTTTAAGAGAAATAATTCAGGAAATATTCATCAGCCGCAAAAGCAGCAGAGAATGTTTAATGTTGAGGCCCAAATACGTGAGGATGCAGAGCCGGATGAAATGAATGGTTCTGATGAACAGGAATATGAGGTTTCCTATGACGAAGCGTACGAGGAGGATCTAGACGATCAGTTGGCAATTGTAGATGACGTTAATTTTTTAGACTAGCTTCAACGTTGCCATACCTCCCTTTCAGAATGAAAAATGGCAACGAACTTAAATTTCTTATAGACACCGGTTCGAACAAAAATTATATTAATGGCAAATTTATTAGAAACCCTCTAAAGAACCAGAAACCTTTTCATGTTAAGTCCGTAGGCGGCATAGTTAGTATAGAGACCCATAGTTTTATTGACATTTTTAATTGCGGGATCGGAAAGTTAGAATTTTACATCCTTCCTGGTCTAGAGACCTTTGATGGGATAATAGGGAATGATACCCTGAAATCTTTGAATGCAGTGATTTACACTTGGAGATCCTATCTCACAATTCTGGATGGAAAGAAATTCCCTTTGAAAGAGCTGCAAATTGATGAGATTAATAACATGAATCTACGTTTAAATCATCTAAATCCCGAAGATGAAAAAGAAGTCAGGAATATTTTGGAT